TGCAAACTGGAAGTCGAGGGAATGTTATTCAGCAAAGAGATGAAGTTTAAAGTATCTAGGCATAGAAATCTCAGGATATGGTGATGTAGAAGCGGAGGTGCGAGAACGGACAACGAAGGCAACCAGAATAGCAGGATGCCTGAATGATACAATATGGCGAAATAAAAACATTGAGGTGGAGACTAAAGCGAGAATTTACAAGGCAACGGTACGACCAATAATGACATACACTCCAGAAACTCGACCTGATACAGCGAAAACTAAACAACTACTAGAAACAACCAAAATGAGAGTACTACGCAGAATAGCTGAAAAGACGCTTCTGGACAGGGAGAGAAATGAAAGCATAAGAAGAGCGTGCAAGGTGGAAAATGTAAATGAGTGGGTACTCAGCAGAAAGGAAGAATGGAACGAGCATATCAGCAGAATGGACAACAGAAGGATAGTGAGAGTTTCACGCGACAAATCACCGCTAGGTCGCAGAAGCTTAGGACGTCCATGAAAACGATGGAGCGACAACTTGTCAGTCTAACCGGTAGAGACGACGAAACCAAACAGGCGATTCGCCTAGTATGAAGAAGGAAGAAGAAGAAGAAGATGTTATTTTCTTCCTGTTCAATTATTTATGTCTTCACACTTCCATGTGCTTAATACCTTAGCTCCTTAGTTTCAAACCTCTGTTTTTGTTGACTTATAGTCTAAGAGCTGGCTACATAAAAAACCTTATCATCGTTACATGGCTAATTTTTCTTGTGAAGTATCCTTTTGTGTTGCCATTATGAAATAGTCATGTCTGCCAGCGCGATCCCCGGGCTTAAAGCCGGCGCGGCCAATTGAAATGGTGAAATTTTGACACTAAAAATTCAATAAGGTACACGAGTTATAATTACCAATTAGCTTTTATTTATTATTAAGAAACGTGAAAAATTGTTGGCAGACATTTTTCTCGTGACTAAAATGCCGGCAAACAACACGAAAGAAGCATGAAATTTTTTCCGGAGGTCATAATTTAAAAAAAAAATATTCTATAATAAAAAATTATTATGCACCACACGGTATTTTATTATGAACTGGTTTAATTTATAAGACTTTTTTCGTATAACGGTTTTACTTTTACATAGAGAGCTATACATAGATGAATAGTAGCTTCAACAAGTGGGTTAGACATAATAAATGAGATACGTTTATCGTGTAGCCATACATTTTCAATAAGTACAGTGATTTCCCATCAAAACAGACAATTATAGGATGTTTATTTTCTTTATATTTATTGGCATACATTATTAAGATAATATTTAATTTATATTTTCTTTTACACTGTGATTAAGAGTAATAATAATAAACATCTTTATTGCGACAATTATATATTTTTTCACTTGTATTTTTGTATTTTTCAATGTATCCATTATTGTTGCTTTAATTAAATGATAAAGATAACTTTCTGGCCTTAAAACCATCTTCCCTGCATAACTAACTGCCAACGAAGAATAATAATATGATTTTTACATGATTGCGACACTAGAAAAACAATAAGCTCTATTTCATAGGTATGCTGACAAAGACCAAAAGCAAAAGCATGCTTTTAGTGCTAAAAATTCTAGAGAGATGAATCAACAAACAAACTATTTAGAAAAGACGCAACTTCAAACTTTCGCATTTTGTTTTCCCTCGTATAATAAAAATATTGGGATTTTAATTTTTATTTAAAAAAAAGCAAAAAAAGTCAGATAATTTACTTATAAATTGCTTAAAAATCATCAAAATCGGCCAACTAGAATAAGATATATTGAACTTGGTGTTGTTTTTAAAATATTACGAAAAATCTTTTTTGTCCGATAGTTATTAAGTAAAAATTTAATGGGTTTTTATAACCTTTTGTAAAATTTTTGACTTGCGTGTTCAATAAAACTGCAGTTTAGGAAAAAATAAATACATAACAGCGTTGTAATACGCTATCACGGTGGCGTTTTATTCAAGTTTAAGGTCAAAGCAACTTTTTCCATGATCGATATACTACCAGCACTTTTGTTCCTGTTCAAAGGCAGTGTTTAAAAAGTTTCCCAAAAACTATGAGACTAATTATTGTGTAATAGTATTTAAAAATTTCTTTGGAAAATATTACAGATAAAACTACTAATTATTTTTTTTATAATAAGCTCTTTTTCAATTTCAGTTAATAAATAAAAAGTATCTAATATGTATAGCTATACTATTGTTTTACATGACTTGCCTTTCATTTGCGCTACTATTTTGATATTTTTAGTAATAATATTTTTAGCAAATTTCACCATATTTTAAATACATTTGGTTTATTGTAACACTAAAGAGCGCATAGAATATGTGTATTATATTGGAAAAAAATACTATCAATTTAAAATAAAAACGATTAAATGATGTAATTATCTCTAAATATGTATTATTTATAGGGTTCATAAATACACCGTAAATGTAAGGTGGGAGAGTCTTTAGCTATAAATCAATTCCTGTTTATTTTATCTGACTAAATAGCTTTTGAGAGCTAACTGAAACATTTATTAGGTAGTGTACATTGAACTGCTATATTTCAATCATGTATACAGGGTTGTTCACCACATACGACACGGAGTATTGTAGCTAAATGATTAGATTTTTACAAATTGTAAGTTTTGGGTTCGTTGAAGGACTATTAGAGCTACAATTTAAAAATATTTTTACAAGATACAAAGTGTCCCAAATAAATAAAAAATATCAAAGTTGTATTTTTTTAAATGAAACACCCTGTATATTATTGCATTTTTAGTTTCTACGATTAAAATAAAGGTAAATTTGATTAAGGTTTATTACACTTAAACCTTACCGTTCTTGAAATATTTTCAATTTTGTGAAATTGCAGTCAACATTTTAAGGCGTCATTTCTCCAAGGGTATCAAAGTTTTTAATATTAAATATTTACTGAAGTATATTTATTGATCAGTTATTGTGTTGCAATAATAAAAATAATACTACCTCATACAGAGTGTCTAAAAATTTATTTTAAATTATTTCTAGTTTTAAACGGCAATAACTTGTTTAATTTAAATGGCCAAACCAAACCAAACACCCTGTATATTTTAGGAAAATCAGATGCACAATTTAATTGTCTATCAAATTGTATTATTGTATTATAGCACTTTTTACCTATCCCTTCAAATTTTCATAGAAAATGCATTTTCTTATAATTTAGACCTCATTTATCAATATACCTATGGAATATTGACATTTTAGATTGTTTTTAAAGCAACAAATTTACAAAATGTACAGGCTAGTAATATTATCGTTTTTAGCAAAATGATAATATTACTAGCCCATTTGTATGCAAAAAGAAAACTATTTAAATCTTTATAAAAGAGTATACCATTTATTAAATATACCACCATTATTTCCGCCCAAATACTAATTAATTACATACTTAATTATGTTCGTTAATATATTATTCTAAATAAATGTGTATTTGAATCAGAAATCAATATAATAGTAAGTTATGAAAATGAATGTCTCTGTTGTTATAAATAAGCATTTGTCAAAAAATGAAATATCATTTTTAAGGTGTTGCTTTTTACCACACTGTCTAATACACATACAAAATTCAGTTTTTTTAGTATTTGGAGCAATTATTATTAACCAACGCAAACAGTCAATTAATGTAGTTTGAATACTGGAATCATATTAATTGGTCCTCTGTAATAAATATTTAAACAGTTTTTTTTATTTTTTAATGAAATAAACAAACTATATCGACAATATTAGTATATTATGTGCTCTTTAAAAATTTCGTACATCTTTAAAAATAATCTAAAATGTCAGTATTCCATGGGTATATTGATAAATGAGTTTTAAATTACAAGAAAATGTTTTTTCTACGGAAACTTGAAGAGATAGGTAAAAAATGGTATAGTATAATTTGATATACAATTAAATTGTGCATCGGATTCTCATAAAATATACAGGGTGTTCCATTTAAATTAAACTAAGTAAAGCTAGTAATTATTTAAAATAAAATTTTAGACACTCTGTATAAGGTAGTATAATTTTTATTATTAGAACATAATAACCGATCAATAGATAAACTACAGTAAATATTTAGTATTAAAAACATTGATATCCTTGGAGAAATGAAGCCTTAAAATTTTGACTGCAATTTCACAAAATTGAAAATATTTCAAAAACGGTAAGGTTTTAGTGTAATAAACCTTTATCAAATTTACCTTAATTTTAATCGTAGAAACTAAAAATGTAAAAATATACAGGGTGTTCCATTTAAAAAAATACAACTTTGATATTTTTTATTTATTTGGGACACTCTGTATCTTGTAAAAATATTTATAAATTGTAGCTCTAATAGTCCTTCAACGAACCCAAAACTGTTTGTAAAAATCTAATCGTTTAGCTACAATACTCCGTGTCGTATGTGGTGAACAACCCTGTAGACGTTCTTAAATTTCTGTAAAGTTTTAACTTTTTTTTCTTTCAAAAACTTTCAACTGTTACAATAACTGTCCTGAAGCCCAATCTATATTAGGTATTTACTTTAGATGGTCTATACTTACTTTGGTATAAATATCGTAATCTTAAGTCAAACTGGGTGTTTAAAATTCTACGCCAGACTTTCTAAAATATAAAATACTTCTCCTCGTTTTTTTTAATGGAACACCCTGTATGTTATTTTTTTAATAGATGGAGAGTTAAAAAATGAACATTTTTTATATTTAAAGTATTTAAATATTTTTAATGGTTTCGCAGATACATGCAGTATTATTTCATATGGCTCTTTCAGAAAAAGCTCTTTGAAAAATACGAGAGAAAAATCATTCGGTGGCTTTGATAAAAATTTACTGTGGAAAATGCCATATGATCTTCCTACTAGGCTTCTAGGCTTTAGGTTTGTACTTAAACATTACGCATTATTGCCGGACCCCGATATATTTTAATATATCAGTATATCGATAATCTAGTAACGAAAGAAAAACTAATTTTCTACATACCTTTATGGAATCTGGTAAGAAGTTTGCAAGGAATTCAATGATTTCTGGAAGCTCAGATTCATCCACCAATCTGAAATTCTTTCCTTCGGGTAAAACTTCTTCCATTGCTGTAAAACCAAAAAAAAACATTGTTAAAATACATATTATGTCATAAGTGCTGTGTAGAGTGCTGCGGTCGAAGTTTTTAAAATCAACTGAGATGCTAAAAAGTCAAATAATTTTGCTATAAATTGTTTAAACAATCACCAAAATCGGCCCACCAGATCTAAATAAATATATTGAACTTTAAAGTATACGGAAATTTTCAGATTTCTGTTATTCGTACTGGTCAGTATACTATACAGGGTGAGTTTTCTACGATGTTCTCTATAGGGATCTCGAAAACTACTCGAGATAGAGAGTCGGTTAAATGGGGAAAGAATTTCAGTTTTGTGGGGTCATAATTATGCACCTTTCAGATTTTTGAAAAAGTTCTTGGCTTACTAGATATTGCGAAAAAAACAAATTTCGGCTATTTTAAAAATTGTCCCTAATTCTATTATAATCCATTTTAAACAAAAAGTTTTCAGATAAAAGTTGTAGATAATCACATCCGTTTTTTTAAAGCCTGTCATTTTTGACGTATGATACAAACATATGTTTTTTTAAATAGAATCCATAGTTGGCCATGACTTCATAAAAAGCGCCATTTTTTAAGCTTTTCAGCGATATTATAAGCTATAATATGTTTTTTTTCGAAAAATGACTGAGTTGTAGCCAATTATTTTCATTTTTAAACAATTTCACTTAGATAGCCATGGAAACAAGTTCAATCGTCGTGGCTCTCAGAAATGTGAAACTGTCACATCCAAACTTTGTAAATTAAAATAAACAAAAATTGTAAATATTTATGAATTTTTCAAATGAAGAAGAGCGTGTAGGATTATTGGTTCAACTTTTTTTGGCCATACATCAAAATCTGCGTTTTCAAGACATGTTAGAAAAGTTAAATTTAGATACTTGCGCATCAATAGAGTAGTTCCAACGTGCCTGTCGTTATGACACTAATGAAAAGACACATCCCTAATGAAAGAAATGTTAAAAATTATTTATATCATAATTATGCAAACTCAGGGATAGGAAGAGGTGGACCAGTTGCATGGGCCTCCTCGATCACCAGACTTATCCACTTTAGATTTTTTATGCGGTATGGTTAACAACAAGGTTTACAAAAGAACTTATGAATGTAGTGATAGTGATATTATTTCTTTAAGTTTTAGTTTGTGTAATGCAAATTGGAAAGAACCGTTTAATAATATATTGTTACTCATTATTAACTGTAACTCATTATTTTTTCGAAAAAAAAAACATATTATAGCTTATATCGCTGAAAAGCTTAAAAAATGGCGCTTTTTATGAAATCATGGCCAACTATGGTTTCCATTTAAAAAAAAACATACGTTTGTGTCATATGTCAAAAATGACAGGCTTTAGAAAAAATCGGAGAACACAAACTCGTTAGGAATGTGATTATCTACAACTTTTATCTGAAAACTTTTTGTCTAAAATAGATTATAATAGTATTAGGGACAATTTTTAAAACAGCCAAAATTTGTTTTTTCTAAATATCTAGTAAGCCATAAACTTTTTCAAAAATCTGAAAAACGAATATTTATGATCTCACAAAACTGCAATTCTTTCTCCATTTAACCGACTCTCTATCTTCAGTAGTTCCCGAGATATCCATAGAGAACATCGTCGGAAACTCACCCTGTATAAACATTATTTAATGTTATTTTTTTATTGTGTTACATTGACAAACATTTATATTTATGGGCAGTATTTGTACATTGCTAAATCTAAAATTACTGTATGTTAATTTTTAAATTCTCTTTGCGATGTTCTAAGAAACAAATCATTTTCTGCAGTGGAGAGTTGGTTTCTCAGTAAATGTGTAATGCCCTTAAAACAGTAAAGAATCTCGGAAAGTTCTGTTCGGAACGACTGCACTTATTGGAGTGTAAATCTTGAGTCAACGTAGCGAATCCAGAAAATTTGAAGTCTGTGCTGGATTACATTTTCCTCGGATATCCAGCAGTCCATAAAGATTTGTTTTAAGCTGAATAAGCCATGGTCAGTGAATTGGTTATAAGCTTTTTATTACAATTCAATTCTTTTAATAATTTACTGGTATACCGTTCCGGATCAGTTAGTTTTAAATAACCGAATAAAGTGTAACTAAAATTACCGTACGATCGAAAAAAAGGGCTTCAAGTTGGCTTGGAACTGAACGTCAATGATATTCAACATATAATTTTACATATAAAATGGTTTAAATAAGTTTGGTTAGGGCTGGTTATTATATTTTCAGGGCTGGTAGATCTCGATAAAAGAAACATATTTTCTCTTTACCGTTTTTCATATAAGTCCAAAATAACCGAGTTATTTTGCTTTGAAAATTTACCCAAAAAAATATTTTTTGCTTAAATTTTGAGAACTACTGGATCTTTTCTGGGTTTTCATTCTTGTAAATTTAATCTATAATCTACCTATGTTGCCATATTATCAAGAAATAATGATTTTTTAACTGAAAACTAAAAAAAATCCAAATTTTCAATTTTTTTTCGCGAAAAAAACCTCATAATCTTGTTTCTGGAGTCGAAATACATTACCCCTAAACATATTTGCACTTATTTAAGACCCACCCTGTATAGTGTATCGTTAATGTCTAATCGTTAATGTCGAGTTATGTAATCGAAGGCGCAGTTTTTAAATTCATCGTTGCCAACCATGGACATATTCGGCGCCGGGCTGGAATTTAAATTTCCCGGTGGGGATTCAGATAGTAGCTCTTCTGTAAAAAAATGTCAAATTGCTGCATTTTCTGACATTGTCAATCGTTTTGACACTTTAGTTTTGTATTAAGAGTTTTTGGTTTAAATGAAATGTGCTGTGAAAGCTTACAATTTTTTACTAGCGGACCTTACTTTCTTGATTTTAACAAGTAGCCTATGACTTTAAACGTCAAGTGATGTGACACTTTGTTCAAAAAGCAGTATATTATCGATCATCATTTGCAAGCCAACTTTGTGTTTTTTTTCAGGGTTAATACAGTACATTATTAGTATAATTAATAATATCAACTATTAGATATCACTAAGGAGCAGGGTTGGCATGATTTAAATCAAATGATTTAAATCAAGTGATTTTTTTAATTTTAATAATGTGATTTAAATAAAAAAAAAAAATTATTGAAACTTTATTATAAATCAAAAAATAACTGTAAAAGTTATAAAAATGTGTCCTAGAAAACTGTAAAACATATTTCTATAACAGGTATAACAGATAATAAATTGAAAAATAATTGTAAATGTTATAAAACTATATAAAATTATTTATTCATCAATGTAATTGTTGGACCGATTTTTGAACTTATTTCGTCTGAATCCATTAGACCGCTAAACGCAGGGATTTATTTTAAAATTTATGTATAAGTGACAAAAATTCCAATACATATCATTCGCAAAGTCTAGTGCAGAACTAGGTTCTTCTAATATAGAGACTATCTTCGTCCCCGAGAATCTATAATCGTTCTCAGAAAATATGTTGTTTTATATTTCTTTTTCAAGTTCCTACCGACATTTTGATCTGCAGTTAAGTTAGTAAGTACCTTACATTTTGGCATTAGATAATACATACTAATTTCATTCTCAACTTAAGACTATTTCCGAAAAATAGTGTATTGTTTTATTAAGAGTAAAAATTATACTTTTTTTTGACGATGCTGCACCTTTGAAGGACCATCGTAAAGCTATTCCGACGTTACAGGGAGACACAAAAAGTACATTTTTTCTCCGAATAAAACATACCTTTTTTTTTAAACATTACAAATAATTTTTTAATCAATTTCAAACATTGCAAATAATATAAACAGTAATCGAGCAACAATTTGTACACTCGTTGAATTTGACAGTTAATATCAGTTTAATAATATATTTTTATACTTTTGTGCTTAGGCGTAACAGTGCTTTACTTTTCTGCTTAGGCGTTAAATTGACAAAAATTAATACTTTTGAGACGTATGAAAAAAACGACGACTTTTTTTGCGGAATATATTGGTGACCGATGTGGAAAAATCACACGCCACCTAGAATAATTGTTAATGTTATCGGTATCGGGGTATAGATTAACTGGAAATAAGTCCTAGTCATTTGGAAATCTGATTTAAATATTGTTTTGAATTAAAATCAAAAAAATCTGATTTAAATTAAAAAGGTCTGATTTAAATAAAAAAAATCTGACTTTTTTGATTTTTTTAAAAAAATAATGATTTTTTCCAACCCTACTAAGGAGCAAAAATACGAGATATATTTTTATAAATACTATTTTTAAACTTTTAAGCAACAGTATTTACAATATATGAAATTTAAATAATTTGTTTTTTGAAAGATGGAACTAAATTGTCTGACTTTTTGACACTTAATGTCAAAGAAAGCTAGATAAAATCCAGAAAAATATATGTTTTCAAACTAAATCTTAAATAACTTAAAAACGGTTTATTTTTGGTACAGGAACATGTACAGGGTGGGTCAAATTCGACGCTTTTAAATGGAAACACCCTTTTCTATAGTAGATAGACGAAAACTAATATCGGTGTCTGGAGCTCAATTTTCATCAAAAACATGATGGTGAAAACCGCACATCAATATCTGTTACCGTTTCGGAGTTACGAGGTGTTTTTCAAAAATATGCATTTTTAACAAATCGCTGTAACTTTTTTGCTATGGAAAATTTTGTATTTCTATGAAAACGTTTCCAAAGCATCTTTTTACGTAGAATTTAATTGTTTAAGTATAATTTTTTTAAAATTAATAATTTAAGAGTTATCAACAGAAAAATTGATTTTTTATATGGGACACCCTGTATATTTTTAATTTATTGAAAAGAATTTAAAATTACCTTTCCAAAAATATAACACACTTGATATTTTGCTCGATTCCTCTTCGAGATATAGAGTATGTAAAAATTCGCCCGCTTTAAATAAGTAGGCTTTGAACGGCACCGGCTGTAATGCAAAAAAAAATCTTGCTGTGAACATCAATTAAAACGAAAATAATATTTGCTATGA